CAGCGTGAGGTCAGTACGTGTTCATCCTAAAGCCATTCTTGGTTTTTGGTTAACTGACACCAATAAATTTTTACAAGGGCTGTGCTATTCTGGAAAGTATAAAACTGTAGCACTAAAACCACGGAGGAGTCTAAAGAGATTATCTCCTATAAAGAATCACATGTGGCCAGGAGCCGTGGCTCATGCCTATAATCCCAGCACTTTGGGAGACCAAGGTCAGTGGATCGCTTGAATCCAGGAGTTCCAGACCAGCCAGGGCAAGACAGCGAAGTTCTGTCTCTACAAAAAATACAGTAAATTAGCTGGGTGTAGTGGCATGCACCCGTAGTCCCAGCTACTGGGGAGGCTGAGGCGGGAGGATCAATTGAGTCCGTGAGGTTGAGGCTGCAGTGAGCCAATGATCCCACCACTGCGCTTCAGCATGGGTGGCAGGGCAAGACCCTGTCTCAAAATGAGGAAACAAACAAAATAAACCCCGCAGAAAACCAAAACTCATTTGCCTGGTTTTAGAGAGGAGAGAGCTGCAGCTCAGAGACGTGAAGTAACTTGTCCTGCTAGAGACTCAAAGCCGCACACCTGGGTGTCTCAGCACCCCATCATCTGACACTGTTTTCCCTGGGAGTGTGACGCTCGGGGGTCTTACGAGGTCAGGCATCCTCAGGACTCTGTTCATGTAGGATTTATGCCTCAAGTCACCATGCCATCTGTTTTGTAGAAAACCATCTCTTCTTCCACAACTTCCCCAATCAGGTTTGTGATTTTGCTTATTAAGCTCAACAATTCGCACATTTCTGAATTTCTCTGTGGGTGCACTGTCAGCGATGTCTAACCAGTTGAGAAGCCCTGGAAGGTCCTTCAGGCTCGGGGAGAAAACCCCTCCTGGAGGCACTGCGGACGGAGGGAAGGATGCAGCCTTTGGAACCTCAATTAAGTCCAGAGATGAGTTCTCTCTCTGCCTTCCATCTCCCCCTCTCTGTTCTCTCTTTCAGTCTCCACTGACTCTGAACCTGTCACTTGTGGCAAACACAGCTGGTGGAGTATTTTAGCTGTGATGATGTCAGCTGATTTCTGATAGGCTCCTCGGTAAAGTGACAAATCTGGTTGCGTCAGGGCCTTGCACTTTTGTTTCTACAGCATGAAGCCCCAGCTGCCTTTTCAGCAGGTCTCAGCGCGCTTGCCTTTCCTTGCGGGAGCCCTTCCCAACACGCAGCACAGCCACACGGGGCCGACCCCACGCACCTGCCAACAGGCCCTGACTACACTTCTACCTGCTCGTCGGCACCCCGGCTTCAGCAGAGAGACTCAGTGATCTCACTATGGGGAAAAACATGAGAACAGGGCTCTGACTTCACAGGGAAGCCAATTTATCATGTAATCATTAATTTTGCAAAGTTTAGAGTAGGGAAAAACACACCTAGATTCTTCCTGTCCAAACAGAAGAGGGCTGTAAGGAACTGGGCATGTTGGCTCACTCCTGTAACCCCAGCACTTTAGGAGGCTGAGGCAGCGGGGGATCACCTGAGATCAGGAGTTCGGGACCAGCCTGGCCAATATGGTGAAATCCCGTCTCCACTAAAAATACAAAAATTAGTAGGGGGTGGTGGTGCTGTCCTGTAGTCCCAGCTACTTGGGAGGCTGACGCAGGAGAATCACTTGAACCCAAGAGGCAGAGGTTGCAGTGAGCCAAGATCGTGCCACTGCACTCCAGCCTGGGTGACACAGTGACACTCTGTCTCCAGAAAAAAAAAAAGAAGAAGAGGGCTCTGGGGCTCTCGGAGCCTGCACCCTGCAGAGGCTGCCAGGTCCAGGAGGTGCGGCCCACAGCCGAAGTGACTGCCCTCATTCTCAGGCTGACAGAGATGCTGGCCTTTCTAAACAAAACCTCTTTTCACACCTCCTCTGTTCGCAAACAAGTTTTAAGGATTCTAAGTACCATGGCAATGACTCTTCACTGATGGGTTTATTTTCCGTGTTACACCTGGAGTCTGTGAAGAGTCAACTTTGCTCAAGGCAGTTCATTTTCTTTTTCCTAGTATTCACCCCTAATTCATGCAGGAAGTAAACAGCAACTACAGAGGGGTAGTGAGCTCTATTTATGCCATTTAAAAAAAAATCCTGATTCTTTTTTTTTTGAGACGGAGTCTTGCTTTGTTGCCAGGCTGGAGTGCAGTGGCGCGATCTCGGCTCACTGCAACCTCTGACTTCTGGGTTCAAGCGATTCTCCTGCCTTAGCATCCCAAGTAGCTGGGATTACAGGCGTGCACCATCACACCCAACTAATTTTTGTATTTTTAGTAGAGACGGGGTTTCACCATGTTGGCCAGGATGGTCTCGATCTGCTGACCTCCTGACTTGTCCACCTTGGCCTCTTAAAGTCCTGGGATTACAGGCGTGAGCCAACGCACCTGGCCAATTTTTTTTTTTTAAATCAGATCTTTGGGGAAATCTTTCTTGGGCCCTTCCAAAGATTGTAAACCTACAGTGACATCTCACAATTACAAAAGTACTCGAGGCTAACAGCTCTTGACAATGCAGGACCCCGGCTTGGTGCAAACCCCACATCCAGTCATTCACGAGCAGTTCTGGAAAAATAACTTGGTCCTTTCCTCACTTGGCCTTTTAAACAATGTTCAAAAAAGCCAGGCATGGGGACTTATGTCTATAATCTTGAGGCTTTGGGAGGCCAAGGCAGAAGGATTGCTTGAGCCCGGTAGTTTATGAGACCAGCCTGGGCAACACAGCAAGACCCCATCTCTACTAAAATGGTTTTTTTCTTTTTAAATTAGCTGGGCATGGTGGTACGCACGTGTGGTCCCAGCTACTAAGGAGGCTGGGGTGGGAGGCTCACTGGAGCCTAGGAGGTCAAGGCTGCAGTCAGCTCTGATTGCACCACTGCATTTCAGCCTAGGTGACAGAAAAACATTGTCTCAAAATTTTTTTAAAAAATGCCCAAAGCACATGGTGGCGCGTGCCTGTAATCCCAGCTACTCAGGAGGCTGAGGCAGGAGAATTGCCTGAACCCAGGAGGCGGAGGTTGCGGTGAGCCGAAATCGCGCCATTGCACTCCAGCCTGGGTAACAAGAGTGAAACTCCGTCTCAAAAACAAAACAAAACAAAACAAAACAAATGCCCAAAGCAATTCAAACCATTAACTAGTTTATCTTTTCTGCTTGTTTTATTTTATCTGAACGTCCCAAATAGTAGCTATTTCATGACAATTTTCAACTCAGGTTGGAAGGAGACTGTCCCATTTGAGTGTTCTCAAATCCTAGATGGAAAACCTGGTAGAGAGTGGCCTCCACCGCCAGGGGGCGCTCTCAGCTGCAGGCCGAACCTGCTGGACGCCCAGCAACTTGGGCAGTGACAGAAATGGGCTGTGGAATAAATGCATGGAGTCGAGCTAAGAACCTGGAAAAGGGTGGACGGAAGGAGCCTGTGTAAATTAAGAGGGTTAACCACACTTCCAGTTTCTCCCATGACTCATCTTGGCTACAGCTGACTTTACCCCAAGCCCAGCAGGTGACCTGGGACAGTCCTGACTTCTCAGATTGTATTAACCATGCTTTTATTTTCTGATGCTTTGATATTTTAGGGTCTTGCAGACCCCAGAGGTATAGTCTCTCCTAGGATTAACTAATTCCTAGAGATTTCAAAGAACTCACCAGGGAGCCCGACTTTCATATGCAAATCAACCAACCAACCAGTGCAGCGCCCAGGCCCCAAGCGCCTCATCTATTGGCCCATCACACTCAGGCCTGCCTTCTGCCTGTCTTTTTCTTTTACAGGGAGTCTCTGTCCCCCAGGCTGGAGTGCAGTGGCCTGATCTCAGCTCACTGCAATCTCTGCCTCCCGCGTTCAAGCAATTCTCCCGCCTCAGCCCCTTGAGTAGCTGGGACTACAGGCGTATGCCACCACGCCAGGCTAAGTTGTATTTTTAGTAGAGATGGGATTTCAGCATGGTGACCAGGCTGGTCTCAAACTCCTGACCTCTGGTGATCCACCCAGCTCGCGCTCCTAAAGTACTGGGATTACAGGTGTGAGCCACCGTGCCCGTCCTTTCCACCTGTACTGGTCACCCCAGCACCAGCCACCAGACAACTAGGGACAACCTCTACGCCCTGAGCACACTGGAATTGTCCACTCTAGCCAATCCTAACCCTGTCCCCCACAAAACCACAATACAGGCTGCTGCTTGCCACGTTTCCCTTCACTCCCTCTGCCTCCTGACCCACCTGGTGCTTCCCCAGGTAGCCCACACTTTATGGTGTCGAGTGCCCCTTCCTCTTGGAATCAGAGAGTATAACAAACTATCCCTTCAAAGAGTTGTCTCCTGATCTGTTGGCATTATCATACCTAAATACTAATAAGACATTATATATATGTTGCAGACAGGGTCTTGCTATGTTGCCCAGCCTTAAGTGCAGTAATAGTCACAGGTTCAGCCATAGCTCACTACAGCCTCGAACTCCTGGGCTTAAGTGATCCTTCTGCCTCAGCCTCTGGAGTAGCTGGGACCAAAGGCATACGCCACTGTACCCTGCTAATAAGACATACTTTAAAACATGGATGCTGCCATGGGATGTGATTCCTTTGGCATCTAACGTCCTCACTCCAAAGGCATCTTCTGTCTTTTCCTGGTAAGAAAAAGTGCAGAATGACCGCTAGGACCTGAAGTCCCGCAGCATTTCCTCATCAGGGTCCCTCATCCCAACCACAGAATTCAAAAAATAACCAGAGTGGTGAGTTTCTGAATTGTCTCAAGGACTCCTTAACTAGCACTTCTCTCCACATGTGGAGGTTCATTCATTACACATAGCAGAGGCCCCAGGGAAGCGGGGCTTACTTTTTCTAGAGAACAGAGTGGGGAAAGGCCATGCCTGAGGTCCAGGTGTAACTGAGGACCCTCAATCCTGCCTCACAGAAGCAACGCGTCTTGCCGGGAGAGGAGGACGGCGTCATGGTGTGGTGTCCCATCCCTGTGCCACCCGGGCCAACGTTACCTGGGCTCGGTGCTCCCCAACGGCGAACTGTATCACGGCCACGCCCGGACTATGGCTGTCTTCGATCCTCTCCACCGTGCTGGAGTCGATCTTCAGGTCGTTGCTTATCTCTGCGCTCTGGATGAAATCTTCTGTTTTTAAGTCTTCTACCTTCTTTAGCTCCCCGTTGGCCAACTGGATGATGGAGCCTTTCATGAAGTAGGGAGGAAGCGTGGGCGGAGCCGCCGCGGGGGAGGCCACGGACTGCACCACGGGCAGGTGGATCTGGGCCTGCACCATGGCAGGGTAGGCGGCCTGGGTGACCAGGGCCTCCGGGTTGAAGTTCTCGCTCTTGGGAAGGGCGGTGGTGACGAACGTGTGAGGCACTGCAGCAAACTGGGGGGACGACGTGACGATGGCGGGAGCTGCCCCCGACGCTTCCATGTCAGTGCTGCCAACCGGGATGAGCAGGGGTTGTGTGCCGGGGATCACCAGGTGCTGGGGCAGGCTGCCGGCGTAGGTGATCGCTTGCTGCTGGCCGCTCAGGTAGCCGATGACAGGGGGTTGAGTCCCCGCGTAGAAGGCTGTGGCTGGCAGTCCCACCGGCAGTGGCTCTGAAGCACTGTGTGTGGTCTGAATGACCGTGTGGGGCGAGAGCGCGTAGGACCGGTGGCCCGGCTTCCCTAAGTGCAGGCCGCTTTTGTCGTTGAGGGTGGAGGGGGAGGCCTCGCGATGAGTGGCCTGCTGCACCTCCAGGTCGGCCGCTGGCGTGCTGCTGTTGGGCAGGACCATGACAGAGGCCCGGACCCCCGAGGGGTCGCGACTGCTGTAGTCGGAGGGGCTCGGGTGGACCACCACGTGCCTGGACTCGTACGGGTGAGGGACCGACTTGCCACCCGCCTTGCCCAGACCCAGGTCGGCCGAGGATGGGGCCCCATACCGCCGGCCCTTCTCCATCTCACCGTTCAGGACCTCCTTGGCCTGGATGGCCTGCTGAAGCCGGCTGCTCTCGGCTTTCTTGGTGGCCTCCCGAGGGACAAAGTGGCTGCCGGAGTCGGCGTATTGCATGACGACCTGGGAGGGGGGCCCCAGGGTGAGCGTGTGTGGGATCATCGTCTGATGGGGGTGGAGGTGGATGGGGATGGCTGGAGGAGAGGCGGTGCGGCCGGTGCTCTGCGGAGAACTGGAAATGTGGACGTACTGGCTCTGCTGGGCGGGTGGGGGGGACCCCGGGCTGATGAGCCCCGGAGCCCTGCTGAGGTGCTGCTGCGGCGGTGGCGGCTGCTGCGGCTGCTGCTCAGCCTTGTGTCCCGGCGCCTGGCTCAGACTGCCCATGTTGGCCAACAGAGTGGAATAGGCCTCCAGCTGGGAGCGCTGGGATGGAGTGGTGGCCCCTGCGGCCGAGGCCACTGCACTGGTGACGGGGTTGGCGGTTGGGGGGATCAGCTGTGACGGGATGAAGCTGGCGTAGGTCCCGCTGTACTGGGAGGACCCAATGAACTGGAAGGTGTGCGGCAGGTGAGCATACTGCACGGGAGACACCGGGGTCCCTGGCTGTGGGGTGGCATACGCGGCGGGCAGCGTGGTGGCCACGGGGACAGACCTGGGCGCGCTGGGCGGGGAGTAGTCCAGCCCTGTGGACAATGCTTTGTGTAAACCTATTCCCTGTTGTAAACCAAGCTCCGCCGAGGTCCCGGCCGGCCCGTGCCTCCCGCCCGCAGGGCCCCGGCCACCAGGGTTGCCCGGCAGCCATGCTGCGCCCTCCACCCGGTGGTTGTCGCTGGGCAGGGCGGGGGCCTTCTCCTCGCTGGACCGGCTGGTGGCGGGGATCTCGCGCTTCTTGGGAGGCAGGCATTCATTGCTCCGCTCTTGGTTGGATTTCATTTTTCGCCGTCCCCCCTCCACGGTGACTGTTTCACTGTCTGGCTGACTCTGGTTTTAGTCTGATAAACGGAAAGTCACATTTGATTTCTGTAGGGGATCCAGGCTCTTCATGAGGAATCATCTCCCCGTGGGGGCGATCTGCCAGACGCAGCTCTGGATGCTGGGAAAGGGAAGAGGGCAGTGACAAGGGGAAAAGGAGAGAGAGAAGAAAGGAAAGGAGGGAAAGGACATCAGAACATCAGCACGGGGGAAAGAACAGCTTCCGCAAGATTAAGACTAGGCCCTGGACTCCATGCGATCTCCCCAAACCCAAGGGCAGCCTGAGCACTGAAGCAGGTAAAACACTAGCCATGGCGGCTGCACGTCCCGAAGGAAGGTTATGGAGACACTGGCCAAGTGAACACTCTAACACCTATGCTATTTTTTTTGAGACAAAGTTTCACTCTTGCTGCCCAGGCTGGAGTGCAGTGTCGAGATCTCGGCTCACTGCAACCTCTGCTTCCCAGGTTCAAGCGATTCTCCTGCCTCAGCCTCCCGAGTAGCTGGGATACAGGCATGTGTCACCATGCCCAGCTAATTTTGTACTTTTAGTAGAGACAGAGTTTCTCCATGTTGGTCAGGCTGGTCTTGAACTCCTGACCTCAGGTGAGCTGCCCACCTTGGCCTCCCAAAGTGCTGGAAGTACAGGCATGAGCCACTGTGCCCAGCCCACATAAACTTCTTAATGGAGTTAACAACTCCCCTAAAATGTTCTCAATAATACCATCTCTCCTTTTCTTCTTAGAGGGTAGATGACGCAGTTCTTAAATTTCCTTTTCAGAAATCCTGGTTCCATTCCTCACCTCACCTTTACCTGGCTGGAAAATAAAACGAAGCCCTTGGTGAGCAGGACACCAGCTGGGCCCTGCACTCAGACCAGGCGTTGAGAAAATGCAGGTCAGCAGAGAAAGTGCAGAGCAGTCCTTGTGCTTTATTTCTGAATCTTCACCTGCCAGAGCCACTACTCTCCGAGATTCCCCTTAGCTCTGGGTCCATATTGGACCTACAATTCCCTCTCCCTTAATACACACACACACACACACACACACACACACACACACACACACACGCCAACTCAGCAGAGGTTGCCAAAAATAATCCTGTTCTCTGCAAGTTTCAAAAGAATTCCCAGTACGGCCCCTCATATGATAACAGAGTGAGGCAGTTAAAAACCAAATTTGATTATGGTTAAAAAACCCAAATAGCATACAAAAATAGGGCTCCTGCATTAAAAGTTTTCTTTTTCTTTTTTTCTTTTTGAGATAGAGTCTCGCTCTGTTGCCAGGCTGGAATGCATGGCACAATCTCGGCTCACTGCAACTTCCACCTCCTGGGTTCAAGCAAATCTCCTGCTTCAGCCTCCTGAGTAGCTGAGACTACAGGTGTAGGCCACTATGCCTGGCTAGCTTTTGTATTTTTAGTAGAGACGGGGCTTCACCATGTTCACCAGGATGGTATCAGACTCCTGACCTCACGATCCGCTCGCCTCGGCCTCCCAAAGTGCTGGGATTACAGGAGTGAGCCACCATAACCGGCCTGAAAGTTTTCTTAATGAGTTACATGCTTGGTGTGTCTGTCTCTTTCTGCCTCTCCAAGTTGTCTTTGAAGTTTCCCTTCACACCATCCCCTCCCTTTCTCCTTGGAAAGGAACAACTTGCCATTAACACTAGAGATGACATCCCTTTCGGACAAATCAGATTGGTGTGTTCAAACCCAGACAAACAGTGATCCTGGGGTCAGTTCTTATGGACAAGTATCTCAGTCTCTTACCACTGAAGTCTGAGTTACCGCTGCTGTGTGGGCATACCACTGCCCAACTGACCAGAGGCTGAACCATCAGTGGAACTGACAAGAACCAGGAAAGCAAGCAGCAGATGTGAGTGATGCCACAGGTGGCGGCTGTAGGTGGGCACAGTGCCATGTGCTGTGATCCTGAGAGCTGTGGGATTGGGTTTTGGGAATTCCATGCCCTTGGGTTTTGGTATCTCACATCCAGACCCTCTTTTCAATGATCTGATTTTCTTTCTTTGGAGCAATGGGGTCTTGCTATGTTAACCAGGCTGGTCTTACACTCCTGGCCTCAAGAAAGCCTCCTTCCTTGGCCTCCCAAAGTGCTAGGATCATAGGTGTGAGCCACTGTGTCTAGCCAACGATCTGATTTTAAAACAAACAATAAAGTAGCAGCCTTCTGCATTCAATCCTTGTTCATGCTGAAGCAACAGCGAGATCCCTACTGAAACACAACCCCCTTTCTCTCTTCTGCCCCCCCAAATTTGTAACTTTTTTGGAAGGGGCAATAACTTTTTTCTTTCTTTCTTTCTTTCTTTGGAGACTGGTCTTGCTCTGTCACTCAGGCTGGAGAGCCATTGCATGATCTCAGGTTGCTGCAACCTGTGCCTCCTGGGCTCAAGTGATCCTCCCACCTCCGCCTCCCAAGCAGCTGGACTACAGGTGCACACACCACACCCGGCTAATTTTTGGATTTTTTGTAGAGGCAGGCTTTCGTCATGTTGGCCAGGCTGGTCTTGAACTCCTGGCCTCAAGTGATCCACCCACCTCCGCCTCCCTATAATCTGTGCTGGGATTATAGGCGTTGCCACTGGGCCCAGCTTGGGAACAGCAATTATTTGATGGTCCTTGTTGGTTTTATTCCAACATCAACAATGAACATCACAATGAAATCACAGATGACACAATAGAGTTTCCCAATCCTTCATAGTTTTGGTCAGATATCTAGGAAGGTGGAGATTTAAGAGAATGGGTGTCTCAATATCAAAGGATATCTCAGTAAGAACAGAATTTCTCATGACAAGAGAAGCACTTAAAGACTAGGATGGAAGTGAAAAATAAAGTAAAAAAACCTAAAACACTCATGCTGAAGAAAAGAAGTGTCACAGGAGTAATGTCACCGATTTATTCTCTCAACCTAGGTTTTTTTTTTTTTTTTTTTTTTTTTTAGATGGAGTCTTACTCTGAAACCCAGGCTGGTGGTCAATGGCCCAATCTCAGCTGACTGCAACCTCTGCCTCCCAGGTTCAAGCGATTCTCCTGCTTCAGCCTCCTAGCTGGGATCATGGGTACCTGCCACCACGCCTGGCTAATTTTTGTATTTTTAATAGAGACAGGGTTTCACCGTGTTGGCCAGCTGGTCTCGAACTCCTGACCTCAGTTGATCCACCAGCCTTGGCCTCCCAAAGTGCTGGGATTACAGGTGTGAGCCACTGCACCTCACCAATCTAGGATTTTTGTAAGGCTCAAATAACTGTGTTTTGTGCCGCTTTCCCTTGTAAAAAGCACAGCACAATTTACACCTAATACTTGCCAATCAATTACAACGACAGAATAAAATTACACTACAAAAGCATCAAAAAAAGTTGCCCCTTTTGGCTGCCTGAAAAGTACTAATAATAAACTTTTCTCTTTAAATTTCAACACTCACTCTTAAGAAAGGGAATGCCAAGCACTCCTACATTTCCATACCAACCAGCCGGGAAAACTCCTATGTGAGACCTACTCAGAGGGAACTGGTCCATGCGCCCCCTGCTGGTCCTCCTGTAGCACTGATCCAATAAAATCCCACAGGGTTTCTTGAGGGATATTCATGCAAGAGTGGTATGTCAGAATGCGAAATGAGAACATTTGCATATAGTAGGCCCAGCCAGAAAGGGAATAGGTTAATTAGCCCAAGGCACCACCGGGGAAGAAAAAGCAGCGGCATAAAAGTCCTTTCAAAGCCAAGTAAAATGTCAAACACATTCAGGAATAGGTCTATTAGCAATGCAAATATAACACTGCCGGCACAATTGAAAGCACAATACACAAAACTAGAAAACTCCTCTGAAGGTACTTCTTTAAGAAGCCAGCTTTCGTAAACCTGAAAAAAAAATGCTGATTTGGTTCTCAGTAGCACTGAGGTTTAATTATGCTGTTTATTTGAGAGGCGTCTGCTTAGTCGGCCCTGAAGACTCACTGGTCTTCTGCTAATGATTGCTAAGACATACTGGCCTTAACACACAATCCAAATTTATTCTTCTGAAAAGTTATCCATTGATAAACAGCATCTTTTCCAGAGACTGCCAATGAGAAATCAAGGACACGATAATTAAGACAGAAGCTGCAGGGACCTGGGGCCAAACTGATCAAAATTTCCACCCATCCTCCTCCTACATTTAGGACTATTGACCAGTGCAGCACGGAGCGCACAAGGCTCTCCAACGCAGACGAATGTGTCCCTCCTCGGGAACCTGTAAGCGTTTAGTATTGACAAGGGGAAACCGGAGAGTAGAGACTGGGTCTTGCTGTATTTTCAATGAACCACCAGAGGGCGCCCCAGGATGGCAACACATTCCTGGTCTGCTGGGTGATGATTTATGGGACTAAAGAACAGAGAAGTAACTTACGAAGGTGGAAAAGTAGAGTAGGAAAATAAGGAAGAAAGAAAAAGAAGAAAGAAGAAAATAGAAAAAGGAGAGTGGGATTTCTGCTCTTAGAGTCTCTAGTTGTAGACAACCGGCCTCTGTGTCCTGAATCGACCCCCCAGGGGTCTCTGCGTTTAACTCTGGAAGCATCTACCGCAGGGGAAAGATTTCTTCCCAACATGGGGCCGTGCACAATTATGCCAATGCCAAGTTACCAGTGAGCTACACGTGCAGATCGCACTGTTTAAACCTTACAATGGAAAAGGGAAACTGGAGGGGGAGTTAACAGATGAATCAAGACAAATGTACTTATGGTTTGCTACCTATAGTTTGCCAGATAATCCACCGTTCTGAATACATTCATCTTAAGCCGCTTTATAGCTACATCCTCTATCTCTCTATCATCGTTTCTAAATTTAGCCCAGTAGTATAAGGACTCACTAGTCGAAGTGTGGTCCTCCGACCCGTGACATCAGCATCCTTGGCAAGTTTGCTGGAAATGCTGAATCTCAGGCCCCACCCAGACTGCATTTTAACGAGCTACGCACAGTAAGGTTTGAGGAACCCTGGTATCTCTCAGGGTAAATTTTCTGCTGCTAAACTCTTAAGCAAATTAAACACCTCTAGCCTCTTCCTGATGAGCTGGGCACCGGGAAACCAAACTGGATGCTGCTTGTAAACACAGAGTCGATGGAGCCTCCAA